GGACCTTCGTTGCCAAAGGAAGCAGGCACAGCGATCACTGGACTGACACGAGTTCCGCCAGAGTCACTGAGTTCGGCTAGCGATAATCCAGAGCCGCCAGGTTTGGCAACTCAGTCTCCACACACACACACACACAAGGTGCGACCGGTATGTCAGATGCACAAAATAAAGGGCGCAGTAAAATACACAAGGCGATGAGAATCATAAGGCATGGATATCAAATCAGAAGATCAAAATGCCAAATATTACCACCAATAAGACTACAACAACGCTATGGCTCAGCCGGCCGCCTCAACGTGGTGCCAGCGTGCAGTACTCTTTGATAGGGAGGAAAGCAAGTGCCTGCTGCCCATCCGCTACGCGCGGAGAGGTGAAAGGCGCCGAACAAACGGGTCGCAAGGGCACCAGATGGAGCCATTTGTAATGGTTGTCCGCTGAGCGGTGTTTTCATCCGCTGCTGAATTCCATAGCGCTTATCAGCGCTATGCATACCGTTTGCGTGCCGTATGTGACGCGCAACTACAAATGTTACTGCTAAGCGGAGACATTGAGCAGCACCCAGGCCCCATAGCAGTACTCCAGATGAACGTTTCTTGCCTCACGCCGTCAAAACTCGCAACATTAATGGCGCAAGGAGCAGACATAATGGCCATCCAGGAGACTTGGAAGTCGTCGGAGCAGATCGCCAGCATGCACACTGGAGATTATGTGCTCTATGCACAGTCGCGCATCGGCAAGGGAGGCGGTGTGGCGGTGCTGGTGCGTACGACTCTCCGCTCCAAGCGTATACCTCTCACCATCCCCCAGCATGACACCAGCCATGAAGTGGTGGTGGTCCGGGTTGCTCTGGACCAGAACCGTGATCTTATTGTCGCGAGTGCCTATATGAGACCACCACCGCAAGTAACGCAATCCTTCAGGCGGTTAGTAAACTGCCTTCCAGCCTCGTCGCCGCTCCTGCTGTGCGGGGATTTCAACATGCATCACCCACAGTGGGAGCCATTCTTGGAGACTTCTCCAAGCGAGGTTGCTGCAGAATTTTTAGAACTGTGCACGGATGCGGGACTCACCTTGGTTAACACCCCTGGTGAGATCACGTATGTCCGTGGCACAGGAGAACGATCCTGTATCGATCTGGCATGGTCAAAGCATTTGACTGTGTCGGATTGGTCACCTTCCGTGTCGCCGCTTAGTGATCATTATATGCTGACATTCACGCTGCATCAGGCATTTAAGGATACCATACCTTCGGCACCTAGGATATTCCACAGTTGGGGGAAGTGCAAGTGGGATTTATTCATCAAGGACCTCGACGCACAACTTCCGGCATACGACTATAAAAAGCAGTCCACCGGCATTGAAGCTTTCACGAGAGCGCTTATAACTTCGTATCGACGACATTGCCCCCGCGGCATGCACAAGGACGGTCCCAGGCTTTGGGACGACACTCTCACGGAGGCAGAGCGGATTGCTACCGACAGCAAGGCCCGTTATCTACAGTTACCGACGCCCGACCGTGAGGCAGAAATGCAGCGGACAAGGAGTCAATTCTTCCTCCTACTCCGAGAGCGCTTGCGCAACACGTATCTACGTCGCATCAGCAAGTTAAATCCAGGCGAGCCACTCGCATGGAAATACATTTCCGGACGAAAAAAGGCATCACTTCCATCTCCCACATCAATTTTATTAGGAGATGGTCAACACACTTATAAAACAGCAAGGAGAGCAGCGAATGCTCTCAATCGCATCTTTTTTCCATTCCACCCCTCTCACAAGGCAGTTAGGTTTTCCAAAGGCATCAACAGACAGAACACATCCTTGAACATTAATGCTTCTTTTCTTTTTGGGCAGCAGAACAGCAACGAGTCTATCTCTACATTTACATCAGGGGTTTGTCACTGCCCTCTTGATGCACCTTTTAATCGTACGGAACTGCTTGCTGCGCTACGTAATACGCCGTATGGCAAGGCCCCGGACCGGATGAAGTCTACAGTGAGGCACTGCGACATATTTCGTCAAAGGGCCTTCGATTCCTTCTTCGTTGCATTAACCACAGCTGGACGACCGGTGCGATTCCGGTTGAGCGGAGACGCGCTACCATCGTTCCACTCTTAAAACCCGGCAAGTCGCCGGAACTGCTTGAGTCATATCGACCCATCAGCCTTACTTCCATTGTGAGTAAGGTTGCTGAGAAAATGGTACTGAAGAGATTGCTTTGGGTGTGGACGCCGCACCCACCAGTATGCATATCGTAGTGTGCGTACTACGACGATGCAGCTGGCACACCTGATACACGAAGTGGAGCATAATAGAAATCATTATTTCCAAGTGAGCCTTCCCAAGAAGAGCGGTATTGGCAATCAACTCCACTACAGACCCCATCGGACCCTGCTGGTGTTGGTTGATTTCAGCAAGGCCTTTGACTCCATAGACCATCGAGTCCTCAGTCGCTTGCTGGCTAATATTCCGGGGGTGAATTGTAGAAGGTGGCTTAGAAACTTTCTATGTGGCCGCTACGCGAAGACACGAGTTGGCCACAGACACAGCGATCGGCGTCCCATGCTGCGAGGAGTTCCTCAGGGGTCCGTACTGGGACCGTATTTGTTCTCCCTTTACGCACACCCACTTCTCAATCTGCTGAACAGCTTTGCGGGTGTCACAGCAGACATGTATGCGGACGACCTCTCTATTATCGTTAGGGGGCAGTCCCGGGAAGACGCCATTCCCACAGCCAACATGGTTCTTGAAAAACTGCATGCGTGGAGTCAGGAAAATGGCCTGGCCATCAACCCGTCAAAGTGTGAAGCTGCTTGGTTCACACTTTCCACGCACACGGAGTCAGATTATGATCGTGAAGGAAGGTGGCCCCTGGTAGTGGCTGGATGTCAAATCCCAGTCATGACCATGGGGGCATCGCGAACTACGAAGCTTCTCGGCATGGATCTCGATCCACGACTGACGCTAAATGTGGCGGCCACCAAGCAATGCGCTGCCACTTCGCAACGGATATCGCAGCTACGCTGCATAGCGCACAAAGAGGCGGGACCATCTCCACATGACCTACGCACGTTCGTCATTGGATACGGTGCTTCCAAATTACGCTATGGCAGCGAGCTCATATGGGCAGTAGCGACGGATTCAGCGAAGAATGAGATGCAGAAGACGTACGCAACTCTGGCACGCATTGTCAGCGGAGTTCCGAGCACTGCCGACCCGGAATCCGCGCTACTGGAGGCTAATATGCCGCCGCTCCATGTCCTTTGCCTGCGCGCGCGGCTCTCCATATTTGAGAACACACGCGCATTTCAGATGGACTGGATGCGGAGACCACCGCCTGAGCCACCACCTCGCGCCGGTTTCCGCTTCTCGCCATTATCTCGGGACGAGCTATATGCCTTCGTAGACGCATACACAAAGGACTATGGCATCACCGAGAGCTCGCCACGCGAAGAGCGGTTCTTTCGCAGCTCCATTCCTCCCTGGTTTGCGGCCTCCGCTCACCGGGCTACCATCGGTGTGGAACTTCCGATGGACCTCTCAATAACTGACGAAGAGGAGCTGATAAGGAAAAGCGCAGGGTCAGCGAAGAGGCTCCAGCGCTGCACAGCCATCGATCGTGGATACTTGCGACGGATGGCGGTGTCGACGTTCCCAAGTCAGCAGGGGTTGGAATACTGCTTTCATCCCTCAACTCATCGGAGATAACAGAAAAGGCCAGCATAAACTGCGGTGCACGCCATGCAGCTACAGGACGGAATCCCGTGCGCTGCTTCTAGCCCTAGAGAGGCTGATTGCCCCTCGCATCCGACACAGGCATAAAACCCTGCTTGTGGTTACGGACAGTCAGTCTCTTCTAGCGGCTCTAAACAAGGGCCCGCCCAGTCAGACAGACTGGACGGAGGATCAGATCTGGCAGCGTCTCTTGACACTGACGTGTGCTGGCTGGTCCGTGCACCTGCAGTTTTGTTACGGACATTGCGGAGTACATGCTAACGAGCTTGCAGATCAGTATGCGACGCAGACTATGGCAACCGGACAATACACGGAGCAAGGAATCGCAACTTCATGGCATACGGATCTGCTGACATGTTTTACTACCCAGCTCACCAACAAGTGGCGTAGTACCATTCGTCAAGACACTCACCGCTAATTGCTTTGCGGCACAAGGCCATCCGATCTCAGCGGTAAGGACCTGATCACTCAGGAAGTTCTTCACCGTCAGGAACTGGTCCACCTCGCAAGGGCAAGGTGCGGGGAATCTGAGCTCTGGGGCCGACTATACTGGGCCGTGAGAGATTGCACAAACCAATGCTGATTCTGCAACATCTCACCGGAACAGTCTGCATACATGCGCTCTAACAACGATCAAACTGCAACTGGGACGGACACTGTTCCCCCGTCGACAAGGGATGAAGACGTCTCTCCAGTAAGGGGACGGACCCTCACACGCCGTCGGAAGGAGAAATGTCCGCACTGTGATTCTACATTGACGGGATTCTCGGGTCTCGTCAGTCACTGTCGGTCATTTCATCCGGAACATCCTCCACCGCTTCCCGAGCTCAAATGTGATTTCTGTGACGTGGTTTTCCCCACACGGAGAAGCACCGCACAGCACAGAAGTCGCTGCGCACACAACCCAGACGCCACTCGACATCGAAACAGCCGTGCCAGGAGGCGAT